CCCCCCCTCCTGCCCCTCCCGCACCCACAGGTCAGCCCAAGTCTGCGCCCTCCGTGTCTCTGTTCCCGCCATCCGCTGAGGAGCTCGCCAACAACAAGGCCACACTGGTGTGTCTCATGAGTGACTTCTACCCGGGCAGCGTGACGGTGGCCTGGAAGGCAAATGGCAGCCCCGTCACCCAGGGCGTGGAGACCACCAAGCCCTCCAAGCAGAGCAACAACAAGTACGCGGCCAGCAGCTACCTGCGCGTGTCCAGCCAAGACTGGAAGTCCGCCAGCGCCTACAGCTGCCAGGTCACGCACGACGGGAAGACCGTGGAGAAGACAGTGGCCCCTTCAGAGTGTTCCTAGGACCTGAGTCCCCATTTCTTGGGACACTTATCCTTAAGACACCCCCTTTCCCTGGTCCCCGCTGTCCCCCTGTGGCTCCTGCCCTGGTCGCTCAGACTGGGCAGGTGGCCATCCCTCCCCGTTCCCCCTTCTCCTGAATAAACTCCTGTCATTTCTCATCTGACATGTCGCATGTGTTTGTTTGTGTTGGGGGAGGGTCTCAAGGTGAAATAAAGGGCAGGATGGTCATGACACGTGGCTCCATCTACCCATCGTTCACTCAACCAACCAACTCGGCACCTGGATCAGTTCTGAGTGCCTGTGGGAGATGGAACCCGGAGCAGGAACTTCTCCTGCAGGGCCGGCCCCGGGAGCCAGTCCTCTTCCACTGGGAAGGGACAACGGCTCAGTGACAAACATGCAGGGGCCCTTAGGAGGGATCAGGGAGAAATGGAGAGGGTCCCAGGAGGGCAGGGTAAGCTACAGGTGGAAATATTGGGAGGGAAATTATGGAGGAAGGCTGTGGTTTTGGGGAACACACATTGAACTGCCCTGCTCCATCATGGAGCCCAATGGGAGAGCCACTACAGGTGAAGATTTGTGGTTGGTTCTTTACCACCGAGTCATGGAAAGCTTGGAACAGTGCCTCCCATGGTCCATTCGTCACACTCTGCCAATACACATTAGCTAAGCGAGGACACTGACTAGTCCTGCATCAGAGAAAGTTTAATATCACATAGCCTGACAATTCCCCAGTCTTGGTCCACCTCTTACCAACTCAGGGAGCCTGGAACACTCTTCAAGGCATCGTTACTGGTGCTGGAAACATGGAGTGGGAATAAGGCACAAGGAAGCTCAGTTTATGTTCTCATCGTCTTGGGTCAGGCTCAGGCTCAAGGTGACCCTAGCGTAGGCCTGGGATCTCCATCCTGAAGGTCTTAAACCCTGAAGTCAGATCAACCTGAGAGTTTTGGGGGTTGGTTTAAGGATGGAGCAGGTGATGTCAGGCCTCTGGTAGAGGGGACACGGGAGTTGACCTTGATGGATTAGAAAGGGAACCATCCTGGGCACAGAATGGGCATCCAGTGCCGCCCCAGGGAGGGCATATCAACTAGAATTCAGGAGCCGAGTAGGCGCCGGTCAAACCAGCTCAGAGCAGGGAGCGTGTGGCCTGTGGGTTATACCAAGGTCAGGCCTCTCTGGTGACACAGCACCCCCACACCAGTCCACTCCTGGGAGCATAGGCAGGGGATACCCCCAACGTCACCCTAAAAGACTGGTTGGAAATCCAACAGAATACCCTCCCCCAACATCACCCAGAACACTGCCAATCTAGGCTATCCCTAGGGAAGATAAGCCTGAGGTCTTGATGAGATGGTTGGGGACATAGGAAGTGGCCAATAGACTGTACACAGGCCAACCTGCCTTTCCCTGGAAGGGGAGGTAGGGAGAGAGAAAATACAGCCTGCCCTCCCCTCATGCTCTCACCAAAGGATTAGGGCTTTGGGACAGAAGAGAGATGCGCCATTCATTCCCATGAGTCTTCACGCCCAGTGACAAAAATAGCCTCCAAAGCATCCCACGTCCAGGAGACCATAGTGGTAAAGAGTTCATCGGACACTGAATTCCTTTAGGAGAGTTGCTTCCAACAATACTGCTTCTGTACAACGCCCTGTGTCCTCTATCTTGTCATCTGCTGTGTCATGGCGGGGGCGGGGGGGGAGGCAATGTGTGTGCCCCTTGCCACCATGACAGCAGCCTGGGGCAGTGGCCCAGGCTTCCTCCAGCACAGCTGCAGGTGGGGGCCCAGGGGTGGGGCAGGGCTCCCAGAGAGAGGTTTTTGTATGAGCCTGTGTCACAGTGTGCTGTGTTCGGCGGAGGGACCCAGCTGACCGTCCTAGGTGAGTCTCTCATTCGCTCTTCTCCCCACCTCCTCCAGCAGTTTGGGCCGTTTTCTGCTAGGTTTGCTATTTTTCTGGCTGTTCTCTCAGCTTCTGGCCAAGCTTTCACCCAGGATCCTGGTCTTTTGGGACAGTGAGCTCTTCCTTTCTTCCTTCTTACTGTCCTATTTGCCTCCACGGGTCACTAGTACCGCTTTCTCTCCGTCCCCAGAGACAGAGGAATGGAGAGGAGGCCCTGTAGATCCTTCTATCTGTCTGCCAGGGTCGTGCTGGATTCTAGAGGGGCCTGCTCTGTCTTCCCCTGATGGGTTGCTATGGCGTGAGATCTCTGGGGGTCAATAGTAGCCACTGTCATAGGGGAAGAGAGTATAAGGAGCCTGGAGAGAGCCAACACGTGCAAATTTTAAGGTGACACAGTACCATCTGGGCCAAGGCTAGAGAGGTTCAGGGCAGGTCTCAGGGAATGTGAACTCAGGAACAGGAGCCAGGAATGGTGCTGGGGTGCAGGGCTCCCCGGGGCTGCATGGAGCTGCCATGCAGAGTCCTCACCAGCCTCACACCAGGGAAGCCTGCGGGAGGAAGGACACAGGGGGGAGGAGAAGGTGCTGGAGGAAGGGCCATGGAAGGACAGGTGTGAGGACAAGGTGGTCTTCGGTCTCTGCATGACGAAAATCCTCTCAGAAGGTAACGTACAATTATTGGCATAAAAGCTCCAGTGATGTGACCGACTAGTGGGGACTCCATTGACTGTGGAATGAGAGAGACCAGGGAGAGACAACAGACTTTTTGTTCATCAGCAAAACTCATACTCACTTAAGAGAAAGTCCAGGACAGGGAGATTGGGAGGTGGGGTGGGAACAGAACCCTGATGGCAAAGACCCTAAGACCCCAGCACCGAGGATCAGGTGAGAGGTGTCCACAGATGGACCCAGCAGGAGGTCAGAGGGCTCAGAGCATCTTTTGTGGGACAAACAGACAGACAGACACAGACAGGCCCAGTCAGGTACCAGGAGAAGGCAGAGCAGGACGGTGACAGTCAGATGTGTGGGGGACAGAACGGGGCCCACAAGGACGGTGATGGCAGGTTCCAGGCTCAGGGTTTCTCAGGAAAATGGGGAGTTCAGCTAAAAACACCCCAAATTGCCCTGCACGGCATGGACGCTCACACCCAGAGAGGCCCCTGCCCTCGGGGGCGCTGAGGAGCTCGCCAACAACAAGGCCACACTGGTGTGTCTCATGAGTGACTTCTACCCGGGCAGCGTGACGGTGGCCTGGAAGGCAAATGGCAGCCCCGTCACCCAGGGCGTGGAGACCACCAAGCCCTCCAAGCAGAGCAACAACAAGTACGCGGCCAGCAGCTACCTGAGCGTGTCCAGCCAAGCCTGGAAGTCCGCCAGCGCCTACAGCTGCCAGGTCACGCACGACGGGAAGACTGTGGAGAAGACAGTGGCCCCCTCAGAGTGTTCCTAGGACCTGAGTCCCCACTTCTGGGGACACTTCTCAGTCAGAGGCTCCCTTTCCCCACTCCCCACTGTCCCCCTGCGGCTCCTGCCCTGGTCGCTCACATTGGGCAGGTAGTCATCCCTCCCCGTTTCCCCTTCTCCTGAATAAACTCCTGTCATTTCTCATCTGACATTTCGCATGCGTGTTCTGTGTGGGGGACGGGTGTTTGGGTTCAACAAAGGGCAGGAGGGTTATGACATGTGACTCCATCTACCCTTCATTTGCTCAACCAACTAACTAGGGGCCTGAATCGGCTCTGAGTGCCTGTGGAAGACGGAACTCGGAGCAGGAACTTCTCCTGCGGGGCCGGCCCCTGGGAGGCCGTCCTATTTCACTTGAAGGGACAGAGGCTGAATAAGAAAGATGTGGGCACCCTGAGGGGCGATGAAGAAAAGCTGAAGAGGGTCCCCGGAGGGAAAGGTGGGCTATGGATGGAAATATTGGGAAGGAAATCATAGAGCCAAGGCTGAGGTCATTGGGAACAGACATTGAACTTCCCTTTCCCATCATGGGACCCAATGAAAGAGCCATTACCAGGTGAAGGAACCTGGTTGGCTCCTCATCATAAAATCATGGGAAGCTTTGAAAAGTGCCTGCTCATGGTCCATTTGCCAAACATTGACAATGCATGCTAAGTAAGCAATGACATTGACAAGTCATACAGCAGAGAAACAGTTTAATATCATATAACCTAACAATTCCCCAATCATACTCACACCTCTTACCAACTCAGGGAGCCTGGAACTCATGGTGCTGGGCACCTAGCTGAGGATGAGGCACAATGAAGCTCATTTTATGTTCTCATCGTCTTGGGTCAGCCTCAGTGTCAAGGTGACACTAGCTTGGTCTTGTGACCTCCATCATGTAGGTCTCAAACCCTGAAGTCAGATCAACCTGAGAGTTTTGGGGGTTGGTTTAAGGACGGAGCAGGTGATATCAGGCCTCAGATGGAGTGGACAGGGGAATTGACCTTGATGGATTAGAAAGGGCACCATCCTGGGCAGAGAATGGGCATACAGTGCGGTCCAGGATGGGCATATCCACTGGAATTCAGGAGTAGAGTTAGGGCAGGTCAGACAATCTCAGATCATGGGGAGTGTGGCCTACGGGTTACAGCAAGGTCAGGTCTCCCCGGTGACACAGCACCCCCACACCACTCCTCCCCTGGAAAGAATCGCAGGGGACAGCTTACTCTAAACGGCAGGTTGACAAAGACTAGAGTCCCACGGTGACATCACCAATGCTATCCCAATCTAGGCTGCCCTAGGGACGATAAGCCAGACGTCTGGATCAGATGGTTGGGGACATAGGAAGTTGTCAGTAGACTTTCTACACAGACCAACCTGTCTTTTCCTGGAAGGAAATGGGGGGAGAGGAAATACGCACTGCCCTCCCCTCATGCTCTCACCCAGCGATTAGGGGTGTTTGGACATAAGGGAGATATGCCAGGCATTCCAAAGAAATGTCCCTCCCGGTGACAGAGATGTCCGCCATACTCATCCCACATCCCAGGGTAGCAGGGTGGAAACGGCCTGTCAAACACCTAATTCCTTTGGGAGAATTGCTTCCAAGAATGCTATCTGCATGCAATGCACTCTGTCCCCTATCCTGTCACATGGTGGTCTGCAAGGGGCGAGAGTGTGTGTGCCCCTTACAGACCAAGCACCCCCTGGGGCAGTGGCCCAGGCTTCCTCCAGCACAGCTGCAGGTGGGGGCCCAGGGGTGGGGCAGGGCTCCCAGAGAGAGGTTTTTGTATGAGCCTGTGTCACAGTGTGCTGTGTTCGGCGGAGGGACCCAGCTGACCGTCCTAGGTGAGTCTCTCATTCGCTCTTCTCCCCACCTCCTCCAGCAGTTTGGGCCGTTTTCTGCTAGGTTTGCTATTTTTCTGGCTGTTCTCTCAGCTTCTGGCCAAGCTTTCACCCAGGATCCTGGTCTTTTGGGACAGTGAGCTCTTCCTTTCTTCCTTCTTACTGTCCTATTTGCCTCCTC